AATCTCAAGTTTATGTTGGTGGAGTATGAACTTGTCTATTCTAAAGAACAACATTACAAAGACAGTGCGGAATATTCCTCGTGATATGTTACATACGGCTGTGGAGTACGTTGTGCACAGGATGCACGGTGTTATTTCTGAGAACGGTGCTCACATTGAATGTGGTCTAATTCCTCACCGGGGAAGTTAATGTAGTAAATAAACATTAATAATTTAACTGTACGATTGTATGTCTTGATGTCCCATGTCTTGATTAGTCTAAATACCAAGTTTTGTGCCATTTCGGTTATTAGATCGCGCTACAGGGCGCTCCAAACGCTGTCACTTTTCTAAACCAAATGCATAAAGAAAAACCTTTTTAAAAACAGCATAAATGAAAAGCTTGAGGAAAAGCTTCGTTTTTTCTGTGAGCTTCTTGGACTTATTTGGGCTCCATCATTTATGACAAGTTTCTAAAGCTGTTAAAATCTTGTGTGAACAAGAATCATTTGGTATTCTTAGAACATCTTGTTGGTTCTCTTTATTTTCCAGAGCAACATGCATTCTGAATACAAAATATTTAATTTTCGTCTATTACCTTTAATTTTTCTCTAATTTAGAATGTATCTTGTATTTCGTAATCCGGAAGGTATCTCTTATCAGTATTATATCTGTGCATCTCTATTTCAAGTCAAGTTTGCTGGTAATGTTAATACAATCGACATTTGTTAAAATGGTCATTGCATCATTGTGACCTTATGAAAGCCTTGCCGATCATTCCTTATAATGTATCCTTTTCCAGTGGGACAGTTTAAAAATAGATTTACTATGATTGTTAATTACCTTATTAATTATATAGAACAAGATTTTTATTATCAGTATTTGTAAACATTACCCTAACTAACATTACGATAACTTATTTTATTTATTTAAATTTGACATTTAGCAATAATACATAATCACTTCCTAAAAGTAGAAATTCTGGGTGTTTCAGCTAAGAACTTTCAGTTCCTCTTCCTGGCGATCTTTGTTTCTAGTGAACTACTGGGGATCTCGATTTCCGGTACCTTCTTTTTTGTATCTTCGCCACATACTTCCTTCGAGACATTTAGAAATTTTCTCACAATCAGATTGATAATCATTAATGATTTGAAAGTTCTCTTCTGGTAGGGAATCAAAACAAATATGGGGAGCTTTTTCTGTTTCGTATCAGAATTTGCTTTCATTTGAATTTATAATGTATCTTACACAAAGGTGCGGCTTGTGTTCTTCATTTCAAAGGATCCCTTATCGCATCAATAAATATTTTATAAAAGCTGTTTCTTGTTTAAAATTTAAACATGCAAATGTAATTCAGCGTCACAGGATAAGGGCACTTTAAGGCTCTGCCTGAAACTTTGAAGCTGTATTTTCATTAGGCAGGATGGTGCATTTTATTCAGCAGCCAGTAACTGACACGCAGCAGCCGGAGCTACATTTTCATTCAATAGACAGTCAGTGGTATAAGTAGGAGAATGTAAAGTACGCCAAAACATTTAAGGATATTCTTCAACCCTCTTATAAACCCCTATTTACAGTATTGACTATCTGCTGAATGAAAACGTACACTACACCTTCCGTTCCAGAAAAGAAATACCAGTTAAAGTCTCTCTCAGAAGCCTGGATACTGATTTATAGCAAAAAGTATATCTAAGATTCTATCAAAACATCTGAAGGTCAAGGTATTCCGATTGAAATGGTGTAACTGTTCTTTCGCATAATATAATAAATGATACTGTGAAGAAAGACTTCTGGTTTTCTCCAGGCAAGAGCCGAGAAACGACGACGTTAGAAAGATATTCAGGCTTGAATATTTTTATCATGTGAGGGGTCGCGCCCTGAAACCACCATTTTCCGAATTATTTTTCTCCTCTTTTTTCCGAAATTTTTGAATGAAAATTAATTGATTACTGATCTTTTACATCTAAATAACACAAAATGTCTGTAGAATCATATATGTTTTAGGTATTAATACTTCAGATCGGATGACTTTTAAAATTCGTTTTCGATGAGACAAAATAACTTCCTTTTATTAATATAAACAACTTTAAATTTCAAAAGTTAGCCATCGGACATCATGATTTCTATCATAAGCAATAAAAAATTGCAGTAATTAAACTGCATATATTAAAAAACCCTATATATGTATGGCATTTGCTATGTGGTTTCAGGGCCCTACCACTGCGCCACTAGAACATCGTGTCCCAATGCTTACAATCCTCTAGAGGCTCGGTGATCGTGGCTTGAAACCACTGGCGTTTGCTTCTCAATGGTGTTCGCTTGCTTTTCAAATAGGAATGTTTATTTTTACCCGGATATAGATAAAGAGCTTTGAAACCACAGAGTTATTTTATTACTGAACAATACATGCCCTGTCCAGTAAAAAGGTGTTTCGTTTCCAAATACCTTTCTCTGACATCATCACACTTGCTCCCCAAGCTAGTATTGTGATTTTATAAATTATTTCCTGTGGTTTAAATTTAATGTAAATATACTTTGCTATAACTAAAAATAGAAATTGCGTAAAAGTTTTATTTAAATTAAAAATATTATCTGAATATTTTAGGACGAAATACGAATAAAATAAGTATGAATGGGAAACGAACGATCCGTACAAAGACAAAATCACAGAGCCCCCCTCCCATTAACATAAAAAAAACACAAATTTCACGTGCCAGATGAAAATAAACTAAATAACGCTAGACATATACCAGTGAAATTTAAATCCAGGCAGTGTACATTTTGTAGCACAAGGAAAAAACCTCATAGAACAAGATGTATGTGGGAAACGTGCAGTGTGGGTCTATGCATGTGCCAAAAAGACAAAACATGCTTTGAACAGTGTCATAAAAAATTGTTCTTTGAAATTAAAAAAAAAAACACTGAGTTCTTTTTTATCCTTATTTTATTGAGTTTTTAATCCATTTATCCAAATGTCCTCATTATGTAGGTACTTATATTTTCACTGCTATAGACAAATTACATAAATGTTTATTTTTAATTTTTTCTGACGATTTACTTTGTAAAATAATGTAAAAAAATTATATATAATGCAATTATTACATACATTTTTTTAATCCGTAAATTTCGTCATTTATTGGAAACGCGGGCGGAAAATGGTAAGTTTTTTTTCTTACTACATCAGTAAGTTTCAAAGTTCTAGACGCGCGGTGGTTTCACAGTGCGACCACCACCCACAGAACAATGGGCAAGAGTAGATTTTTTTAATTCATATATTATTTGTCTCTAGGATCATAATATTCAATTTCTAGAGTTTGTAGTTAAAAAAAATTATAAAAATAAATCGCGCGCGTCAAAGGGTTAAATGATGAATATTTTCGGTGTCAGCGCTAATATTTTTTTCATGTAAAGGATATAGTAGTCTCATTCAACGCATGAAAGTTTTCCGTGGTAGCGCTTCAGACACGTCCAGTCCTTCCAAGTTATAATCCTTAAGGCGCAGGAAGTATTCAAAAGAACATATAACCTATAATTGCCCCCTGAAGAAAGATGAGACGCCAAGCTATGTTTTTTGCGTCAACGAGCACTTAGCTGCATCAAAGTTATATCCAAAATTCTTTAAAACACAGGATATCAAGATTTCTATGCCGAAAGTTTGAAGGACCAAAACTTACTCTCCAGGACTTAGATGGATTCTGCCAAAATGAAAACCGACATTGTGAAGGAACTTCTCAGACTGGTATTCTCAACGACAAAACGTTAAAAAGATATCTTCAGGAATTCCTGCAACTTGTTGACATTTGGCAGTAAGCTCGGAGGCCCGTGTAAAACAGCATGTAGGACTTAGGGCGGTAAACATTATTGAATATATAGGCTTTAGCAATGTTTAAAATAATGTACGATAACAGCATGAAATATCACTCTATTTCATATACGTACCAACAGATGAAGCTACTTGTCCAGTCTTTTCTTTAGCAGGAACAGATGCTTCAATACTTAAGCAGTTCTGCGTTCATTCCGCTTTTCACTTAACTTTGCTGAAATTTTTAGTATTAATTTTTCATTTCCCGGTGATATTACTTCAAAATAAGATACTTATCCATAAAGGAAGGCTATCAACCAGGTACTCCAATGTTGCTCCATTATACGGAAGAAAGTCTCTCCTCCCCAATTGGCGGACACTTGCCTATAATGGCATTGGCCGGAAGTGACACTAAGGCCAGAAATGATGGCCATTTTATTGTGGAGCCAGCTAAATAAGCGGCCACCGTTATCTTCCTATGAAGGGACTGACAATTTTACATCCATGCCTTCTGCGGGATTCGAACCCGAGCTGTTATATGGAAAAAATTAGGAAAATGAGACGGTTCTCGAATTATTTGTTCAAATCTTAAACTTTCGACAGATAAGGCATGGGAAGGCTGAAACTTGATCATAAAAATTTACTTTCTTTGCTCACTTACTTGATGTACTTGATCTTTACTTTATTGGTGACCATGCATTTAATGAAAATTACTTGAAAGGTTAGAAATGAAAAACAGGAGAGCTTAAGTGAGAGCAAGAATATTCAGAAAGAACCATTAATTTCTCTTCATGCAGATTCTAATATAGTATTAGCTACGTTTTATAGTTATTTTACGTTATTTCTCGTTCACAGTAATTCTTGATTACAATACATATTATCATACCGAAATTTAGTCCAATACTTTTCTTTTTTCTTTCTTTCTTCCTTTTCCTTCTCGACTGAAATTATTGAAAAGTTTATCATTTGATTGGTACCATTGATTTAAGTAAATAGTGTAAAAAATTGATTTAAGTAAATAGTGTTCTGAATTTGGCATAAATTTTATAAAGGCGAACACTCCAAAAATATTGGTAGAAAACTTATTTAACTTTTTTGGTTAAATTTCATGTCGAATTGCATGAAATTTACCGCTATTTCCTTAACGTTATTGAAGTATTTAATTTGTCTTGGCGGAATCCCTTCATACAGGAATGGGTACCGTCTCCACCCTCAATCAAAGAATCTCTAAGCCTCAAAGAAATCAAAGAATCTTTGCCTCAATGAAGTGCGGTGAACTGTTGAAATATATCAAAACATTGAGCGACGCTAAACAACTAAATTCAGCTCATATTTGTCATGGTGAAAATTGAACTTTGTAGGGATTTTAAGAGTTGGGTTAGGGTATTTGAGTCTGGTTGAGTATTGTTTGAATTGTTAATGGGTATCGGCGTAAATCTTTCATTGTGTGACTTTTATGAACGGATCATTTCCATGAGGTAATAGGCATGTAAAAGTTTTAGAGTGTATTTTATATACCTTTTTGAATGTTAGTTTATACTTAAAAAACAGATCGTTTTTAATGTTAGCAGGTTACTGAATTTAAGTTAAAGTTCGTTAAAGTTCACGGATGTATTTAAGATGCAATAATTACGGCTGCAAAGTTTTGGTTTTAATTTTTTTTTTTTTTTTTTTTTATTTCCGTATAAAATGATAAAAGAAACAATTTTAACATTTATTACATGATTTTGGATGAAATCAAGTAAGAGCTTTATTTGCTGTCAAGTATTTTCAGTTATATAGTATCATTTCTTGGTTTGAGAGAACGGTTTTAATAAATTATGATTAAGTTGCTGTTGATCTCCATTACTTTTTAATGCATGCAGTGATACTGAATTATGAAAAATTACAATAAATTAAATTATAATTAAAAATTGAAACCAAAGCATATTCTAATATAAAACCATTTTCAGATGATTAAGTAATTATACAGAAAAGTGAAACAAGTTACATTAAGCAATTTTGAATTGCTCAAATTTAAAAACCTCTTAAGGAAGACTTAAATAAATATATATATATATATATAATAATTTATTTCCTAAACAATATTGATTAATTCATTATATTATCTCCTAAGTTTAATTAAAGTAGAATTATTTTAAAAGAGTGAATCCATACTGGTAAGTTATATTTTGAAAGATGTTTTGAAGTAATTTGAAAGCAAAATGTTAATATTTTAACGGGGACTGGAGTTAAATCATCAGGAAGAACAAAATTTCATTTGTAAAAGGAAAAATTAAAAACATGTAATCATTGTCATTGATCAGAAATTAGTTGACTTTTCAAGGGGAAAAAACCAACTCCCGTTCAATGAACAATAATTGAAAAAAAAATACGTAAATATGAAGGTGTTTCATCTTTACTCGAGTTATAAGGTTTTGCACTAAATGAATTTAAGATCATACAACATTATATATATATATATATATATATATAAATGTAAGCTCTGAATCCAAAATGTTAATTGACTCCCACCAGAGGCTGAATGAGACAGTTGAACACTGGTAGTTTGAACTGGTTTCAGATCTTGGCTGTGGGACCTATTGCATAGACCTATTGTATTCATGAGTTTTCCCTATGTGTAATGTCCGTTTCATCTAATCTTTGGAATATGGTAACAGGTAGTTTGGCGACATTTTGATAAGGCGATAAAGGTTACTAGCTAGGACTTAAGCAGTGTACATGGATAAAGTCAAGAGTGTGCGCAATGCCATTTTTGTGCAATTCTGGGATTTTTTTAAAGTGAAAATAGGTCGACCTGTACATGGATACCGTGTATGTGAAATTCTTAAAAATTTGCGGCAAGCAATTTGCGATTCTGCACTTTCTCCCAATTTCGCACCTAATCTTCGTCATGATTAAACTCTTTTGTTCCATAAAAGTTCTAGCATAAGCGTAAATTTGGCTAGCAGATTGTTGGAAAAAAATGTTGAAAATTTTGTTAAAAAAAACAAAACAAAAAAAAAAAAAACCTTTACTTCGTGAAAACAAAATGGCATCCAAACAAAAACTAGCAGGTTACTGTAGCAGGGTTGGTCGCCAAATTTTTGCCAAAAAAATCGCCAAGTTACCATAATCCAAAGATTAACCTCAGTTTCTTTTAGAAAGTCATTTTGCAAAGGCTCTGAGGCAGATAACCCATTCAATCAAGTCTTTGAAATAGTGTTTTAATTTCAGCGTCTTAGATATGGCATTATAAGTGATTATGAGATTTAGGAGATGAATATAGTTAAGAAACTGAATAATTTAAAGTGTGTTTTCTGTGAAACATTTGCAGATTAAACCTGAAGAAAAAACATTTTAATGGATTTGAAAGATAGGCCATTATCTGAATATATAAAAATAAGATATGGGGCTGTATAAAACAGGTTATTGATCAAATATTATTTCTTTTAAAAATTAACATAAAGAAATTTGTGAATATAGAACTAGATCATATGCAAAAAGTTTTTGGCCGAAGGGCCACATTTGTCATTGAAAAATGTAAGCTTCAAATAAAATAGTATATTTATATATAAATTGTTATGATCAAGGAAAGTGAGTTCTAAAATCTAAATAACCTCCAGATGTTAATTTTGTAGTAAAGATACTTACTGCTTGTAAATGATAGTTGATAAAATATGTTTGTTCATATGCGTAAGCTGATCCCAAATAATGGATTGTTTTTTTAGCAAAATACTCAAGCTTGCCGAATATGTTTGTATTAAGATTATGGTTTGTATTATGATTTCATTATGACTATTTTTTCTCTCAAATTGGTGTAACACTTCAAACGTATAATAAATTGAGTGCTGATAGTTCTGATTCAGCATGCTCTCAGGTTTTATTGTTTAAAGTATGATCTGTAAAATTTTTTCTTGATTTGAACATAACTAGATTCTATGAAATAGTTCACAAACTGACAAATTCAGAATGTGGTATAAAGTCAATTTTATGATGTTTTCTGGTTATCTGTGCCCCCAGTGAAAAGTTACAAACTTGTTCCAGTCTTTGGAGAGCATCTGCTGTCTCATTGGCGACTTTCTGTAGAAATAGGATTTTTTCTACTCAGGATACCTCTTATCGGGATTCAAAATTTTTCACCAAGCTAATGTGCCAAAGGCAAGAGTCATTCTCTGCACTAAGATTTCCATAAGAGCATCCATCAATAAAATTAAAAAAGCAAGGTATGATAAAATGCCTACATTTTTTGAAAAATCCATCTAATTTTTTTGCCTTGTTCTCACCATCTATGTGCTAATCTGTTTTTGCTTAAAAAAAAAAAAAAAATAAAAAAAAAATAAATATTAGAGAATTTGCTTAAAAATAGAATGTTAGAGAATTTGCTTTCAACTTTGGCATTGCACTGCGTCAAAAAAAGGTTGTACTATGCGCACATCTGCTTTACCATATAAATATTTTTTGGTAGAGTTTCCACATAAAAATTTTGATGATGCACTATGTTGCCTCATAGATACTTTATGCTTATTGTTTTAGTTGCATAATTGTAAATGAGTACGGGTAATCCAAGTACCATATTTATTTTACTTAAAAAAAGCATCAAAAGACAGAAAAGCAAACTTCTTCAAGAAATAATATTACTTTTAGGTTTTACAAAAATGCATGGTAGTTTGCCCAGTTCTGAAGTATATAGAAATGACATATATCAAATAGGGTTTGAGCGAATTCTTAAAGTTCTTCCATGTTTTCTAGAAGAGATTAAGAGACTGCAAACTCTTAAAAATTCAAATGAACTAAACTTGGAGTAAAATAAATTCTCAACCTGTTTTTGTTACTAATCTTTCTTATTGGAACATTCTGGATCAGGTTTACAAAATATACTCTGTCTGGATTAGGTTTGCAAATTCATTATGGTTTAGAGGGAAGTGTGGCTAGTGGAAGTCATCCAGCTGTAATCCCTATTTAGGTGGAGGAGATTTCGGAGAATGGATTCAGTAGTTTCCTATTCCTCTTTCCCAAACAAACAACCTTTAGATTCAGGCTTTCAATTTGTCAGTATTGTAAGTGTTTCTATGCTGCAGAGACACTACACACTTAGAAAAACATTAGAAATTGCACAAACTAGGCATTGTGCACTCCCTTGACTTTGACTATGTATACAAATCTATATTCACTCAAAAACGTCAAAGGAGCAGCCAACAAAAAATATGTAATCTCAATAAACTATATTTTAAATTAAACAATGAAATAACATAAAAAAGGAAATTCACCTTAGCACTACATGAAGGAAATATCCACTTACCTTATTTACGAATTTCGTGTCTTCAGTCAAACGAAATTCTTTAACAACATCCAAAAACTTCTTAAAATTATCTGAACTAGAATGTGTAAACTGAAGTTGCCACATAAATTCGCAAAGATAAGAGTAAAAAAACCTTCCGTAGTGCTGGTATCCTCCGATGTTCAATCATATGCCTTTCCTTCCTATGAACAAGGACAGTTATAATGGCTACTAAGTAAACCTTCATTTACATGCTAGTCAATTACTGCTCTTTTTCCCTTTCATTCCAAATCGTACAGAAACTTCAAATTAATCTTACCACATTCATATATTTTACTGTATAAACTTTAAAACGAGCAATGAACTTCCTAACCAACACACACCAGAAGCCCTTACAAATCTGTTTCTATCATTCAAATTGACCGCATTCACGTATTACGTCATAATAGAGTTTCTATAACATTCAACTACTCAGGGTACCAGAAATGAAACAACAATTTGGTGATAATCCAAGGGGTACCCTTAAATCTCTCTAACCCATTTTTGATTTATAGAAAAATAAATTTTTTCTTGATACAATAGTAGTCAGTTATATGCATTAAATTGCAATCATCCAAATAAAATGATAGTATGTAATTTGAGAAAATACATTCCATATATATTTTTAAAAAATTATAATGCTTCTATTTTTATCTTTTGATTTATGTGAAATGTAAGCATTTTTGTGTTATTGATATCTGCAAATTTTAATTATATGTGAGTGATATATGTTGAAAAAGTTTAAATAGTAAACATTTCCACATTTGTTGTTGTTCAACACAGAATTTAATATTGTGTTTTTCTTCACCTTGTAATTTTTTATTTTACTTATTTTTTATTTATTTATTTTTTGGGCATATTTTTGATGTTTTGCTTGCATTTAAGTATAAATGAAAATTAATTTTAAGCTATTTTCACATCTAGCTTTTATTGAAGCTAGTGCTGGCATTTGTTATACCTGGCTAATATCAGATATAACTGTCAAATAAAAATATATGAAATTTAAGGTAACATGACAGGATATGACATCTGATAATAGGGATGAAAATACATCATTGCATTTCTACTTGTGAGTGGAAAAATTACAATTTAGGAGGAAGGATGATATCTCATTGTGGTGTACTTAAAATAGGAGTAGTTTCTATTAACTGTAACATGATCATACTTTGAAAAAAAGGA